GGGTAAGAGATACCCTTCTGTTCTTGGCAGCAATAAGAAGGAAAAGTAAAGCAGGACTGGGTTCAAGTTAATGAAGCTAACTAGGGCAGTCATGAGGAAGTTAAATACATACAGTAAATGACAGGTTTCCTGACATCTAGTCAAATACAAACGCCGGAGAACAACGCTGTCGAAGATCGACATATATAAAAGGTTTTTCAGCCTCCACAACCCTTCCGCCCTAGAAAGGCATGATAAGCCATACAAGAATGAACAAGTGCATGTTTTTTAGCAACCCTCCCACCCTCATAAGGCATGAAAAGCCATACACGAAAGACAAAGCGCCCATTCATTTAAAAGTCGTAATGTAAAGATTGCTCACCTTTTGAAAGCGCCACAGCTGTCAACCCTAGCCCTGCTGCTATCAAGAGCAGTGCAGCTGGCAAAGACTGCATCACAGGCAGCCCACCAAACAATTCAATCAAAGTCCATCAAACTCAACATCCTTCACCTATAAGAGAACCAAGTCTCTCAAAATACTTTCGCGGGAATACTTCTGCTCGCAGTATAGATACTGTTTCTCCGCATGTTAAACAGATCCCACATTGCACAGAGATGTTGCAGCTAACAAGATCTTTCGGGGCATCTACTTAGATGTCACTGAGAGTACTAGAATTGGCTCCATTTTAGGGTAAAGTGTGCGCATGATTTGAGGTAGTCGTGCTGCGCCTGGCCAATTTTTGCGAGAGTCTAGGCGAGTGAGGTACAGTTGGGAGTCTGGGGTCGGAGAGGACTTGGGAGTGTGTGATGGCGGAAAAAAAAAAAAGAAAAAGAAAAAAAAGGATAAAATGTGCAAGTCAAGAAATGGTCACAACCATAGCTACCATCCGGACGCCCGGACAGGGATCTGGACTGACTGGCATCCGGTGTCATGTCCAGGTTTCCGGATCCCGGTTAGGATGGTGGGAAAATGGGGGGACGCCTGGCCCAGGTCGTTTTCATCCAATCTAGGCCGCCGTGGAAAAATATTTTGACTGTTGTGCGTGGCATCCAGACAGGGCCGGACGGAGGCTGTTTCTTTTCCCGCCCTGCCCTCGTTTCAATGCAAAGCAACCTTGTTTGGGTATTTTGTCGTTCGCACAAGGCCCTTACTGTGCACTCTCAGACTAGCCCGTATCTTCCCAGGCTAGGTTTAGTACATTCCCCCTCAAAACAAAGAAAGTCTGGAAAAAAAAACGAAAAACAAAATCCTACTTTCAGAAGGAAAACAGCGCCCATCACAACGGGTGCCTGCAACGACTTTGGCCTCGCTGCAATACTCCCGAAATGTGCAAAAAAATGAGACTGAATCCACCACTAGAACCTGGAAATATACACCGTGATCTTTTTTGTCTTTTCCTCACTGCACTGCTCACCAAATGTGCAAAACGAGAATGATTTTTCTGCTAGAACATGGAAAGGTACACCACCATATTTTCCGTCTTTTGTGCATGTTGAAACGGTTTTCACCTTTGCAGTAGCAGATGCAGATCCCAGGGCTCGACCCCTGGACCTTGCCCTCACCCGTGTACAGTACCACGTCGACTCCTGTGGGTTTGAACCCGGGACCTGTGTCTTGAAAGTCGCCTGTCTGCGCGCCGTAGGTAGTGTGGTCAGCGGGTCTCGAACAGCAGGTCTTTAGGTTAGAAGTCTTAGCAGTGGTACCGGTTGTAGCTGCTACAGTTCCAAAGAGTCAAGGTCGTAGCTGCTACAGAACCGAAGGGTCAAGTCCACAACCTTCCGGAAGGTCCGGAAGTGACCCTTCATGTAGTCTTAGGCAATGGTCTGTAGGCAAGTGGGCAAGTGGTTATTCCAACCTCGCCTAGTCAGCGGTACTGTTACATGCTGCACCTGCAACAGGCTGCACGGGCCATTTTCAGGCCCGTGTCGTTTTCAGCCTGAAAGCCTGAAAACAAGGGCCTACAGGCCCCGTGTCGTTTCAGCCTGAAAGCCTGAAAACAAGGGCCTACAGGCCCTGTGTTGTTTCAGCCTAAAACAGGGCCCTCCAGGCCCTGAGTCTTTTCAGCCTGAAACGGAGGGCCATTTTCAGCCCCTCATAAGATCAACCTGCCCCTCCAGGCACTAAACCAGGGTTTTAGCACAGGCCATTTCGGGCCTGTTTTCAAGACAACCTTTGTTTGAGCTGCAACGCCAGGGTCTGGCACGTTTTGGCATTGGCAAGAGCAGCCTCCTGGACGGGCCAGCACTACATAGGACTGGCCCGCCCTGCAGGCTACAGGTAGTTCATAGTGACTTCCCAGGCACTTCACGTGCAGTTCAGGAGGCAGGAGGTAGTCTTCAGGATTCGGCAGCAGCACTCTGGAGGAGCGCTGCAGTTGTAGTAGTGTTACCAGTAGTCTTCAGCGCTGGGCGCTAGCAGTAGCTAGAGTAGTACTGGAGAGAGAGAGAGAGAGATTGGGCGGAGGCCAGGGAGACTTACCTGCAGCGCCATAGCTCCAGCTTCGTCTTCGAGGTACCTGCAGCACAACGCCATCTTCACAGGTTAGTACCTGGCACATGAGAGAGGGAGTTCTTCTTCTTTCTCTTCTCAATCCACCATCTCCCTCTCACCCTCTCGCTACCTGACTTCACTGCATCAGCAGACTACGAGTGACGTTTGGATCCAGACTCGACATTGGGCTTCAGACATTTTGACGAGGGATTATTTGGGACTGGTAACGAAAACTTGGTGTTGACGACATTCCCATCTCTCCCCCTTCTTCTTCGTCTGTTTCCCTCCTCTTCGTCTGTGTGCGAGGCCAAGGCCCCAATGAGCCCCTTTTTGGGCCTGTTATGCAGCACGTCGGCCGCCCTAAGTGAAGGCAGGCTCGACGAGGGCCTGAGGGCCCCTATTTCGGTCACCACGCAACTGTGGAAAATTCGGGCAGTTGTGCAGCGCCAGTTGGTTGAAGAGCACCCAGGCCCGGGCCGCCTGTTTGCATGTATGGAAGGCAGGCCCTGGGCTGGGTACGGGATATGGGCCAAACACAGGCTGAGGACAGCTGGGCACAAGTAACCGCCACAGGCCCTGGGCCTGATTCGTTTGGACTGGGCCTCAGCCTACCGGGGCCTACCAGAAGCTTCTTGGGACAGGCCCAGCGCAGCAGCAGGCAGGCCACTTCCACATAGCAAAGGGCCTGCCTCCGCATTGGACATTCGGGTGCTGGCGGCATGCTGCACTGAAGCTGGCTAGCGCTCACTCGCTCACGGGCGAGCTGGAAGGAGCAGGCAGCCATAGCCGAGCTGTGCTGCTGTAAAGTTGGGTGTGGCGCAGGGTGGTCCTTGGGTGCATGTGGCATCTGTGTGTTGGGGAACGAGGTTGTGAGTGATGTGAGAGACATACCTGGTGCTGGACGCGTGCGGCATTGGCCGCTATCTGCTCGTACTTCGGGAGAGTTGTTGTCGTCACCTTCGGCATTGTAGTCTAGGCTAGATAGGATCTGCCATCTGCAGTCTGGGCGCCGAGCACCAGATAGGATATCAACATTGGTTCTTCGTTGATGATGATGAGACTATTCCAGCATTGTCAATTATGAGCTCTTGGTGTATTCTTATTTGGTGAAACTCGTGATGCAATTATGTTGTTGGTTCAAGGTCACGACTATCTGGTCTTATGTGTATGATGCTGTTTGATTTCTGAAGTTCGCTATCGCTCATCTTCCTTGCATGTGCATGATCTGGACCTGGCGCATTCTTCCTGTGTGTAGCGCCAGGCCCCTTCACACCTTGTGATGAGGATGATGTATGTTTGGTCTGCGCTGTGACATTGATTGGGCTAGTCATTGGTATTCTAGCATTCTGCTGCGCTGTCTTGCACTACGTGATAGAGGTCAGTCCCAGTCAGGTCAGGGCTTATATCTAAGTCTTCTACTGCAATACAAAGCACCATTTTTGTATTTATTAGGATGTACACTTCTTGTTGAGATTCCACTTGCACCACATTGTCCATTCAGTCCTTTTTATCACATTGCGGATCCTTGGATATATATATACATCGCCCAACCGGGCATGTAACACGTACCCAGTCCCAGTCGCACTTTGTCCAGTCAGCAAGTACCATGTGGGACTGTGTGTCGGTGCACTACTCCCGAAATGTGCAAAAAAATGAGACTGAATCCGGAACCTCGAAATATACACCGCGACCTTTTTTTTGTAAGGACCCGCCATAACACAGACTGAGAACACTGCTGATTTCTGAAGTTCTGCCAATGGAACGGATGCCTTGCTGAGATTCCCGCATTTCTGAAGTCTGTATGTGTGTGTGCTTTTTGACCTGTGTGCCTGTCTGAGTGCTTGTGGGCATGAGTGTGTGTGTGACCCGCAAGGGTTCTTCCTCGTTTGGCAGGCCCGAAGGGCCGGTACTTACCTGTGGCCGTGGCATTAAGGGTTGTCGTAGTGGCGGAGCCAGAGGCCTGCGACACTTAGAGCAGCTGAAAAACACTCAGAGTAGCAGGTAGACCGGTACCGCACCCAGTCGCACGAGATGTGCCGGGTACTCAAGGCCGAGCAGAAGAAGACAAAGTTGGCATTTTTAGAGGCCCAGTAGCGGTAGGCTAGGTCTAGGCCGGTACCAGTCCATCTAGAGCCTGTACGAGCAATATCAGAGTCTGCAATGATGTTTCCCTTCGAAAGGGAGGAGGTACCGGTTGCTTGGGAGGCCGAGCAGCCTGGAAGTCACCGCTAAGGAGGCAAGTAGGCCGCTATATCAGGAGACCGAGGGAAGAGCCCGGCCTCATTCTTCAGTGTGCAAGTTTGGCGACCCGCTGCTGGAGTGCTGGCTGGAGTAGCGTTGGCCACTACAGCGCTGCTGGGAGGAAGAAGCCGGGAGCTTCCACCTTGGGGAGAGTGGCGAGGTACCTACCTAGCTATGGTGGACACCATCTTCATCACCTTGTTAGGCTCTGCATCTGGAAGGCTCCAGTTGGGGTAGTGCCGCACCAAGGAAGCTCGGGACAGAGACAGGCATGGCGGCCTAATGAGCAGCGGCATAGCTGCTTTGCGTTGTCCTTTGCACACGAAGGCAGCAGCAACATAGCTGCTTTGGGTTGTCCTTTGGACAAGAGCGTTGGGCTCTCAGTAGTTTGCCATAGCTTGGCCTACATGTGAGAGGAAGGTGAAGGGTGGCCGTGGCTATGGTGGACCTCATGTTGTGCCTGCAGTAGAAGAGGGATTCGAACACTGATTCTGGTTCAGCCATTCAACATTATTATTGTTATTTCTTGTTTGAATTAAGAGTGGAGGAGATAATGCTCTTCTTCTTCCCCAGCCAATCTCCTCCTCCTTTTCTTCTTCTTCTTCTTTTCCTCTCTCCCTCTCAAGTTCATTCATTTCTTTTGCAATTGGATAACATTGTACTATCAAATAGATGTATACTTCGAAATTGGCCAGGATCGTAATATTGGTATCAGAG